ACAAATTTATTTTTATCTTTTTTGTTGAACTTTTGTCCTCCGGATGGTAGATCATCAAGTTAGGGAAAATGATTTTTTGCACGAGACCGATATGATCTCCGTATTTTCCGCTGGGCTTTGACTCCTTAATAATTTTTTCTATAGTTTTCAGTTTTCCACAACGGTAGGCCCAGGGTGCAAAGATCAGGAAAAAGTTGACATGATTGTGTCATGAGCCGTCCACAAATCCTAGATTAAGAGGATAGTTAGGGTTAAGCTTTCGGCCCGTAACACACGGGTCTTCTCAGTCATCTCATCTATATTATTTTATTTGAAATTTTATGATAAATATGAATTTTGATGTTAAAAGGTCCAACTCCAATTGTGACGACACTTGAAGCAATCAAACATTGCAAACGTGTAATATGGTTTATGAAAATCTAATTTAAATAGTAATAAAAGCGTAATGATGAATTTAAATTATATAAAAGACATAAATTTATGAATTTAAATTTATTAATTTATGTAATTAAGTTAAAATAACATTTAATAAATATAAAATTTCAATTTAATATTTACAAATATTGTTATTTGAAACTACAACTTTTAATAATATAATAATAATAATATTATTATTATTATTATTATTATTTCAACAAGTGAATATAATTGTTTGCCATCATACATATATATATATATATAGTTTGAGAGAATATGTACTTCAACAAGTGAATATATATTATAACATATATATGTATTATTATTATTATTTCAACAAGTGAATATAATTGTTTGCTATCACACATATATATATATATATATATATGCAGTTTGGGAGAATATGTACTTCAACAAGTGAATATGTATTATAACATATATATATGTATTATTATTATTATTATTATTATTACATAAATTGTAGTTTGAGAGAAAATAAAATTTATAAATATGAAATTTTAAACTTTATATTTATTAAATATTATTTTTAATATAATTATATAAATTAACTTGATTAGATTTCAAATCCATCATTTTTATCTTTTATATTATTTCAAGTTCATCATTTTTGTCTTTTAGAGGTTAAATGCTCAAATTGAAGTTAAACGTTTAGACGGTTACTCAAATTAAAATTTAATATTTTAATTTATATAAATAAAAATTAAATGTTATCAATTTATAATAATATAAAATTTTCTTTAATGAAAAATTGATCGTGAAACATACACTCCATTAAAATGATATATCATTTGTCAAGTTTTAAAAATATTTGACGACTTTTTTTAAATTTTTTCGTTTTGTCTCTCTTCAATCATCTTTTCCTTCTTCCCATATTTTAAAATTTCAAATAAAACAAAACAAAAACATTAATTTGAATCATATAAAAAACTTTTATATTTAAAACATCAAACACTGGATGTTAATTGTTTAAAGAAGAATAAGTTGAGTTTTAAGGAGCAGTTCACAAAAACCAAAAACTCTTATATCCAAATTATCAAACACTTGGTACATATCATTTGAAGAAGAATATGTTAAGTTTCAATGAGCTATTTACAAAAGCAAAATGCAAATCACATCAGATGTCTTGGCAAAGTTGTAGGGAATCCCATCAGATACTTGTTCATTGTGAACTTGCGTCGCAAATTACAATAATAATAAATGAAGATTACCTTCTTTGATATATATTTCCTGCAAATGGCTCTCTAGCAAGACAACAAATTTTTTTACTTTTCCTTCCATTGTTATCATTAAAAAGAGATATTGTTGACACATGTGCAGATGGCAAACAACAAAAGCTAGTCAGCAAATCGACTGTCTCCGCTTGCGAAGAACAAAAAACGCTGAGAATGAATTTGAGTGAAAAGATGCAGAAGAGAATTCTGAGTTTTAAAGATGGGCTGAGAATGAATTTAAAAAAAAAAAAAGGAATAATTGATTGTTTTGTAAGAGAAAAAAAAAGAAGAAAAACTGATTGCTTTTTTTATAAATACATATTTGCAATAGTGTCTTTTTTATTTCTACGGTAATTGTAGGGTATTATCACCTCCCTCGTTTCGATATTTGGTTTTAATAATAGAAATGTGTAGTCTTATCCCCTTTGAGGATCAGAAAAAAGAAGAAAAAAAGATGTGAGCTTGTTCAAGGGTTGCTGCTGTCCATAATTCTTGATGATATTTTGTAAAGAGCATTCTCCTTTCAAATTGGTTGTTGCAATTGTGGACTCCAATCCCTTATGGATATTGGAGTTACGACGAAGAGCACTGTAATCTAAATTTGTTGCACTTTTTGTAATGCATATTTGGACTTAGAATTTGGGTGAAAAGATGCATGGATTGAGGTTAAAAGATGTGGATGAAAATTTGAGTTTTGAGAATAAAAATGAAAATAAATTTTTAAAATGAGAAAAAAAAATGATTGCTCTTAAAAAAAAAAAACTGATAATTATAATTAAGTAAAAAAAATGAGTTTTATTATATCTATCTGCTTCATTCTCTTATTTAAAAGCCAATTCAACCTCAAATTTTTTTTTTTATGCACGATGATGGGGGTATGTGTTTCACAGTTAAGTTTTCATTAAAAAAATTATATTATTATAAATTAATAATATTTAATATTTATTTATATAAATTAAAATATTTAATTTTAAATTAAATAATTAGTCAAACGTTTAATTACAATTTAAGCATTTAACCGTCTTTTATACTATTTAAATAAGATTTTCATAAACCAAAATACACGTTTGCAATGACTGATGGCTTCAAGTGTCCTCACAATTCGGAGTTGGACGTTAAACATCAAAATTCATATTTGTCGTCTTCAATTTCTTGACTTGGTGAACAAAAAAACTTTAAGAAGACATAAGCCTGGGGTTGACCGCAGCCTCTCCCTCCGTCTTAACGTAGGGTCTGCCACTTTAAAACCAAAAAAAAAAAAAATCATATTTATCATAAAATTTAAAATAAAATAATATAGATGAGATGACTGAGAAGACCCGTCCACGTCAATTTTTTCTGGATTTTTACATAAGCCTGGGGTTGACCGCAGCCTCTCCCTCCGTCTTAACGTAGGGTCTGCCACTTTAAAACCAAAAAAAGAAAATCATATTTATCATAAAATTTAAAATAAAATAATATAGATGAGATGACTGAGAAGACCCGTCCACGTCAACTCTTTCTGGATTTTTGTTCCCCGGGGCCTACCATTGTGGAAAACTATAAAAAAAGTATTAAGGAGTTAAAAGCAAGTGGAAAATACGGGGATGTAGGTCCCGCGCCATCATACACTTATATTAGTATAATTTTTATAATTTTTAAAAATTTTAAAATAATATTTAAATAATAAATTTTAATTTTAATTTAAAAATTAAAAAATACATATAAATTATATTAATATAAATGAAATTTTACTTTATATATATTATATATGAATGAGTTTTGGGTTAATAATCCACGCATGTATGATTTATTATAAAATATTATATTTTTAATTTTAACAATTAAAATTTAATTTTTGATAATTATATGTCAAAAAAATTGAAAACATTTTCTTTTTAATCAAAATTAACGGAGTTTTCGAGTTAAGTGGATTAAAGGGAATGATGTACAACCCTAAAAATTGTCAGAGTTTTGGGGTTAGCGTTTTCCTTTTCAGTGTAGGAGAGAATATATAGATAAGATTAGGGACGTCAATCAAGTTTGTTCTCGATGAGTTTCGGTCTGATTCGATCTTATGAGATCAAATTTTTTTTTTTTAATTTTAGGTTTTGGGTCGAGGTCGGATCAAGTAAAATTAATTAACAATCGGGGTCGGATCGGATTCGAGTATGCCTAAAATCTGACTTGATTCGACCCGATATTATTAAAAAATTATTTTTTAATTAATTAATTATATATATTTATATAATGATATTTTAAAATTTTTATATTTAAAAAAAATAATATTTTATTAATTTCGGGTCTGATCGGATTGGATGCGATTTATATAGTGTCGAGTCGGGTCAGATTCGGGTATTAAAAAAATCGAACCAAGTCGGGTTCGGATTTAATAGAGCATAAAAATCGGGTCAGATTCGGGGCGAGCAAAACCCACCCCGAACCCGACCCGATGCCATCCCTAAATATGATCTATGATCGATAAAATAAGATTAATTAATTAATTTTAAAAAATTGATTATTTAAGAGATTAATTAAATTATATTAAGATAATTCTTAAAAATACTTCTTTAGAATTTCGCATAAAACATGCAGCTCATATATATTTGTCAAAAGTTTAAAATGAATATTATACACTTATTAGTATCAAATTAATTCTCATTAATTGTATTAATTAATAATGAAACTAAAAATTATTATTAATTTATTAAAATAAAAACTATTAGATATACAAATAAATATAGTGCTTTTTTGTTGTTGGATTTTCAACAACAACATTTATCAATATTTTAAAAAAATATTTATAAGTAAAATTATTTATCAATATTTTGAAACATAATTTTACTTATAAATAATATTATATTAATAAATAATATATTAATATATAATAAAAGAATAATAAATAATTTTATTTTAAGTATTTTTATATTAATATAATATTTAATATTAAATATTATTATTAAAATAAATTAGTTTTGAATATTAATAATTTTAATAACAAATAATTTCATTATATTTCAATAATTTTATATTTAATATTATATTATTTAAAAAAACAAATCGTTCTAAAAATAAACAAATAACTAAAAATATTTTTTATTAAGTTATTCAAATAATAAATAATTTTTAAATTCAAAAAATATAAATATTTTTAAAAAATTATTTTTCGCCGAACAATGGAACTATTTTTTTTTTTCTTACCATGTTAAAATTCTATTCTAGTTTTGTAAGCCACAAACTACACTCCAAATCTATCAACTTTCCTCAATTATTATTATTTCAAAAAGAATAAAAAAAGACCTTTCCTCAATTATTGCTGGGCTGAAGTCAACAATTTATGCTCAACTCCTATTATATGTATACACACACTTGAGTAATAAGGAATATCATTTCTTTTTTTCATGAATACCAAATGCAAATTAATTAGAAAAATGGAGAGGAAGCTCTATGATGCAGCTGTGGAAGGAAGTGTGATTTCCTTGCGCAATTTGCTTCAAGGGGATGCACTGCTTCTTGACAGATTTATCACTGGTCATTACTCTGAAACACCTTTGCACGTAGCTTCCATGCTTGGCCATTTAGAATTCGTTGATGAAATTCTTGCTCGGAAGCCAGAGCTAGCCAAAGAACTTGATTCCCGACAGTCATCACCCCTACACTTAGCAACAGCAAAAGGGTACTTGGATATTGTGAAAAGATTACTACAGGTTAACCCCGATATGTGCCATGTTTGTAACCTTGATGGGAGGAATCCTCTTCATATTGCTGCCATCAAGGGCAAACTTGATGTCTTGAGAGAGTTGGTCCAAGCCAGACCCTCGGCAGCTTGGCTGCTGATGGACGAAGGTGAGACCATTTTACATGCGTGCGTGAGGCACAACCAGTTGGAGGCAATGAAGTTCTTGGTGGAAAGAGTTTCCGATCATGACTTTGTAAATTGTAAGAATTATGATGGCAACACCATCTTGCATCTGGCAATAGCTGCTAAGCAAATAGAGGTATGTACTCTCCCTTGTTAATTTCTCTCATTTTTAGCTTTAATTACTCTCTTTCTTGAGACCGTCGCTTTTGCTTGAAAAAAGTTAAGAATTTAGGCGAGGCAACCTAGGCTTTTAAAAAGAAAAATCTGGGGTTAAGATTTGAGTTTTAAGTTGGTTCACAGCCCGCAAGATGAGCCCTCTGTATTTCCAAATTCCTAGTATCATTTTTCTTTTCTTTCAAGGGGGCAGAGCCAAGGGAGAGGAGGGGAGGCTGGGGTCGAACCCCAGCCTTGTGTCTTTTTAAGGTTATTTTGGCCACTAGAATCGCAGATTTGTTTCTCTTGGTTAAATAAAATAAGTGAAATTTATTCGCAATTTTTTGAATTTATGGTCTTGCATGGCCGATGTGTCCCAACTAAATGAGTAAACGAATCAAGCTATTTGAGTTAGATTAAGAAAAGAATTCAAGCTCTAGTTACTCTAATAATAAATTGATTTGAATTCGAATAGTTTAATTTTTGATTGAAAATATTTGCTAATCTAATCGAATTTAACAAAATTTTTATTTGTTTATATATTTAATAAATAATTAAATAATAAAAATATAATATTTAATATAAATATTTATAATTTTATTATTCTATCAAGTCAAGTTCAAGTTACTCAATTAAATTATAAATCAAATTTCAAAATGAAAAATAAAGCTCGAATTTAATTTTGAGTTTCGGAATTTTGAATTGAACCAAAATCTGAGTTTGCTATCAATTAGGTTTAGCTCAATTACACCCTAAAACCGACAATCCAGAACTTCCGATTAACTCAAATTGGGATAGTTTGCAGTTTAAGTTAGCTAAGTTTCATAAGAGGCTTGCACTCTTTGCCCCTTAGGCCTTTTTTCCTTTTTACTTTGAATTTCCTAAGCTATGTATTGTGCAATTGATATAAACATTCATGCAGGCCATAAACTTTTTGATTTCTAGCACTACAGTGGACGTGAATTGTCGGAATGCAGATGGTTTCACGGTAATGGATCTTTTATCACAAAACCAGAGGGCTGTGATAGATAAGGAGATTATTGAGTCCCTTCGAAGAATGGGAGCTGTACATGCAAAACATAAGCCTTTGTCAACTTGTCAACTTAAATCTGCAAGGATCAAGATCTTAACCTCACCATCTACATCAAATACCGTATCAAAACCTATGAAAAGTAAAGATCGCAAGAAGTTTGTTAATAGGAATGCTGATTGGCTTGAAAGAAAACGCAATACCTTAATGCTGGTAGCTTCCCTGCTAGCTACCATGGCTTTCCAAGCGGGCGTCAATCCTCCTAGTGCCGTTTGGCAGGACACTTCCCCTAGTGGTTCTTCATCAACGGCATCAAATGATTCAAATGAATCACATCACAAGGCCGGGTCTTCCATAATGGCAGATAATTATCCATTTTTATATACCTCTTTCCTCATTTCTAACACAACGGGTTTCTTGGCATCTCTTAGCATCATCCTGTTGCTTATAAGTGGATTACCATTAAGGCGTAGGTTCTTTATGTGGGTTTTAATGGTCATTATGTGGGTTGCCATTACTGCAATGGCATTTGCATATCTGGTATCTATCGCAGCTTTCACTCCTGAAAAAGCAAACTCTTTGCTACTCAGGATAATAGTAATTGCAGTGTTGGTTTGGATCAGCTTGATGCTCCTGCTTCTTCTTGGACACACAATTCGACTGATAATCAGATTGATAAAGTATCTTCGAAAATTAGTGATCAGATTGATAAACGTCATCTCCACGCGCGGTCCCGGAGGTTAATGTGTGCAATCTTGTGGATTTGAAGAAGCCTTGTTACTCACTCATTCCACAAGCTGAGTCGGATAAGAGAAATTCTTCAGCTAGCTTTTGTTATAAAGGCGAAGCTTAAAGGCAGGGCATATGAATCCAAAATCTGTGATGAATTTTATTGATAGGGTAAATTACATGTATGACGGTCTAGATGTATCCTCCTCCGAAATAAATTCTTATTTTAAGACGATTCATTATAGCCCTCTTTTTTTAATCCATCAAAATTTCCTTCTTTTCCATTAAGAAAATCAATGGAAGGAACTGGTTTTTCTTACAAAATTTTCATCGATCCCTTGGAGTAATTTTTTTCAAACGACGTATAGACTTCAAAATTGGCAAAATATGTATCTTATGCCAAGATTTCTGAACTTGAATCGTTACAGGCGCTTGCAGAAACATAGCTGACAGCTTTGCTAAACATGTGAAAATTTGATGGTCAAATTGCCCATGAATAGCGTCATCAATATCACTTTAAATATTGATTTAAATATTTTTATAAATTTTTAAATTAATAAATTTATCTTTAAATATATAATTTTTATTAATTTATTTAGGTTTAATTTAAATCAATTAAAATAAAAATAGAGTTTATTTGAAATTAAATTGCTTATAATTTTAATTATAAAAGTGTTAAAAGTGATTAGTTAAAACATTCTTAGTGAATGTTTTTATAAATTTTAATTTAAATGAATCTTTTTATTATTACATTCTTTTTTTTTTTAATTAGACTAATAAAATACTAAAAGTGATTAACTAAAATACACTTAAAAAAATTTTAATTTCAAAAATGTTAAAAAGTGTTTGATTAAAATACTATTAGTAATTTTTATAAATTTTAATTTAGATGACTTTTATTATTAAACTCTTTTTTATAAGTAGAATGATTTTTATATCAAATTAAAATGCAAATACAATTATATTAAAGTTTAGTGTGTATAAAAATAAAATAATTATATTAATTTTGTTATGTCAAAATGTGCCATAGGTCATTATACTTTTTTATTTTTAGAAATTTAGTCACTCTAATATTATTTAAAGTAATTTAATTATTGTAGTATTATTTTTTAAGGATTTTAGTTCAATCGTTAACAATGCACGGGAATTAAATTTCTTAAAATATAATATTATAGGGAATAAATTTATTAAAAATAATATTGTAAGGACTAAATTCATTTAAATAATATTATAGAGACTAAAATCCTAAACAACGAAGAGTATAGGGACTTATCATATATTTTAACCATTTTGTTTATTTAGTTGTTATAAAAACAATTGTATATGTAATTTATATTGATAAATAAATTCATTAAAAATAATCATAATTAAGTCATTAAAGCATACTTTTCTATTTCTTGTGTTACAATTTTTTTTTTGTTTTAATATATTCACTATTTATGTATATTAATGATTTTATTATTTATATATTTTATGAGTTGATCATTGATGATATAATTAATTTTTTTTAGTCACTTGAAATAATTATTTAATATATCATTCTACAGTTTAGTCTGACCTCTATAATTATTTTTTTTTTATATTTTTTCTCTAGAATTTTATAATTGTTATTCTTATAAACAAAACCTAACAAATTAAATGCAAATCAATTATATCTCCTATACAAACAATTAGTTTTGTATAATTCATTGAACATTTTAATTGGACTTTCCATTTGTAAAATTATGTCATTCACAAGGTGGTGGAATTATTAATAGCTCAAGTTGGGTCCTGTCAAATTGCTATGAAAATTGTTCACCTCGATTAATTGATTTAATTTTTTTTTACCTTTTATCTTAATATGTATATATATGATTAATTTATATCTCATGATTGTTTAATCTTTCTCAATTGTATGAAATTGCTTTCTTTTTTGTTATCGAGGTGATGGAACGACATAACGTGAATTATTATAAGTAAAAAAATTATCAAGTAAAGTCTAATAATTATTTTTGGTAAACTCTTTCAAGGAGTAATAAAATTTATTAAAATTATCCTTTGAATTTATTTATGCCAAATTACATTTATTCATGAAAATTTATATTATTAATGCTGAAAATAAAATCATTATAAATTGTGTAAGTTTTACATAATAAGTTTGTTATTCTTAGAATTTGAATTTTTTTAAGAAAACATGACAAGTACCAAGGTTAGGATTTTATTTTATTTTTTAAAATTATGTATTTTAATATTTTATATAGTAAAAATTTATGAATAACAAAATTTTTTAAATAAAAAAATTAAGCTTTCAATTGATTTAACATATAATTACATTTAATTGATAAAAGTATCAATGGAATATTATTTTAAACAAAAAAACAGACAAAAAGTTGATTGATTATGCATAATTTTATCTTCTCCATATGACAAAAAAGGTTAATGTTATATGATATTTCAAAGACAAATATACAAATGTTTTGATTTCAAATTTCTTGAAAATTAATATGAAACTCTTTTATTTAGAGAAACATTGCATTTGTGTTCAATTTTTCCTTTATATCAATTGAAGAAAATTCACTATTGTATCAAAATTTTTAAAGTTGCCATTTTAAGTAATATTTGTTCAAAATAATTTAAATTCATCTAATTAATTATCACTTTACATCTAAAATAAAAATATTATTATAAATTATAATTTAACTAAATTTAAAAGTGATTTAAGGTTATTCATTAGCAAATTTTATTTGATAAATCTTTATTTAATTTTGTATTTAGTATTTTAATCATTTTTAGTTTTGACTTTTTATAATTTTGAGTTAGATTTTAAACTTAAGATGAGTAACCAATTAGGTTGAATCAAGTTTTATCATCTACTTCTATTCATAGTGTACTCAATTATTCACTTTTGCAATTGAGCAAATTTAACTCAATAATTGATGCATGTTTCTCTTTGTTTAAAAAACTAGATTCAAATTATCATAAATTCAAATAAAAAAGAAATATACTCAATTACTTATAGTTACAATTTTACTTTAGAAATACTTTTAAAATTAATTAACTAATTCAACTACAAAGACAATAAAAATAAAACATTGAAGATAAAAGAGAAAAAACTTAAATAAGGAACTTTTAAATTGTTATGCAGAATAACTAATATTGGATTTTGATTGAGTTACTATTTAAATTCAAATTTTTGTTATGTTCAGTTATTTCGATTTTTAAATAATTACTAAGTTGTTGGCTTTTTAAAATAAATTGAAATCGAGCCAAGTTAGTTTATTTTTATAATTACAGGTATTATATTATTTTTAAGTAAATTAAAATTTAAAACAAGTAAAAAAAATTATTTATACTCAATTTGAGTTTTGAATTATTTCAAGTTTAAGTAATTAATTCATGTTATTTTAGTCGTACTTTTATAACACTAGCAATAAATTTCAAAATAGAATGAAAAAGTAACACAATGAAAGTTTAAGTGCAAAAGTAATGGAGATAGTAGTGATAATTTTATAAGAAAATCACTATATCCAAATCTTGCAAAGATTAAAGGATATATTTTTTTTTGAAGATTTTAAAATTCATATTATAGAAATGTTATTCCAAATCAATAAGTTTATAGTTGTTCGTTTATTAATCAAGTTGCTTCTATATAAATTAAGGGAAACAATTCAAATATTTCATTTGGAAGAGCTCATATCATAGTTTATACTCTTTCATGAAGACCACATAAAAACATTATTTGGATTGTCATGACCCTTATAATATTTTTTACTCTTTTCAAATGGAGAAGTTGACTGGCATCAAAATATTAAAAAAGTAATTTTGAATTATGGTAATAAGAATGAAGCAACCATTAAAAATATACTAGTTTTTTTGTTTAATAGAATAAATTTTTATAAAGAATACGAAGTTAATTGTTGTAAATTTAATACTTTTAAAAATTATTGTTTGTTTAATTTTTATTCAATAAATTTGTTCTCATCACTTTTATCATATATATAACAAAATTTTTATCCAAAAAAAAAATAAAAACACAAGGCAAAGTTTATTACTTCCATTGGTAATAAAATATTTCAAAATTTTCAATCTTTTATATACAATTATACTTCGTTAACATATATGAAAATATATACACTAATATTTAAATCAAATTATCAAATTATCAATAAAGCTTATCTTATTATTTACTATTTACCATGAACTAAAAAATTAAAAAATATATTAAAACTATTGACTTAAGAAGTTGCAAGCTCATAAAATTATCAAATAAAAATTTTGCTATGACCAAATTAAATTTGAAAGAGTACCAACACTTTCAAATTAATAGTAAAATATCTAATTACACAATCTTTTAATGAATTATAAATTTTTTTTATTTTGATAATTTAAAATTAAAAATACAAATAAATCATTTGTTAAACAAATTTTTTTACTGAAATAAGAAAAATAAATATACTTTTTATAAGAATGAAGTTGAAATTTTGAGATTCAAAGTTACGATCAAATCTTCTATAAAACGCTTTTAATCTATTTTTTTCAAAAAATATATTATAGGGAAACATGAAATAAAGATCTAGAGTAAAATTAAAAGTAAAAAAAAAATTATATAGAGAGGATAAATTATAGTAAATGATAATGAAAAGGAAAAAAACAATTATATAATTTTAGTCCCTCTTAAATTTAATGCATAAAATTAAATTATGAAACTAAAAAAATAAATATAATAAATATAGAATAGCAACTTGATTTACGTACTTCTTAAATTCCAATGCAAAATTAGGTTATGAAATAAAAAACTAAATCAATAGATTAATAATTCTAATTTAAAAAAGGCCAAAATATATATATACATGTTCTTAAAACTTTGGAAGGGTCAAAACCTTTTAAGTTTAAACGATGGTTTGCCTCTGTTTATTTCCAATACTTACATTAGTATAAAAAACTATGATTTTAACTTATTATTATATGTTAAATTAAGGACAGTAAATTAAAAACATTTATTCATGCTTTTTAAGCCATTTAAACTTGAATTTTTTCTTCTTTCTTTCTTTGCCTTACAAATTACATTATCTAACATACATTATGGTTACTTTCTTTTTGGATATACACAAATCAATAATAACATAATAGTAAATAATTAATAACTTAGCAATTAATCATTAAAAACTTAAATGTAATCGACATAACTTAGTAATAATCATTGATAACTTTGTAATATATTAGTAATAACTTAATAATAAATTAGTGATAATTTAAT